ATTGAAGAAACACATTTATTTTTATTTTAAAAATAAGGCAAGGAGTCAGGTAAAACAAGATCCCATATTAGATTTGAAAACTTGTTTAATAATCACTGGCTTAAATTCCAAATAAAATAGAAGCATTAGTTTAATTATATCACTACCATCTCTTGAGTCCTTTAGATTTGTCTTTGTTTTTTGAACATACTTTTCAATTGCTAGAAAATACCATGTAAATTATCACTAATATCTTAGAGCATTTAAATGCCACAGTAATCGTTCAGATTTTGGTATGATTACAAATTAGCATTTATAAAGCTAAATTGATATGAATAGTACCACTTTCTACTTTCATCACTTTCTCCTAACCACTGTTCCATTGTACAGCGTAATTCTTTGACTTTTTATAATTGTGGTAGTCTTTCCATCTTTCAAAGCCAAATCAGGGGCACCTGGGTGGTGCATTCCGTTGAGCTTCTGACTGTTGGTCTCCGTTAAGGTCATGAATCTCATAGTTGTGAGATGGAGTCTTGCATTGGGTTCCGTGCTCAGTGTGGTGTCTGCTTCAGATTCTTTCTCTCTCCTGCTGGCCCTCCCCCAGCTTGTGCTCTCTCTGTCTCAAATGAATAAATCTTTAAAAATAAAGCCATATCATATTTTGCTTTCCGTATTTATTTTGCCATCTATTTTCTGGTCAGCTGTAATGCAGTGGTTAAGAAAAAAAAATAGAGAAGCAAAGAAAGAAATGACTGCATCAGCAAGAGCAGTAATAAACTTGAAAACATTCTATAAAATATGCAATATGTGCAATTTTTACACCTTGTGCAAATGCAAAGCTGACTTGGTTGATGTCCCTTGGATTTTCTAGGAGATCACTGGTCAAGATCAGTGGTTTTTCAAATCTTTTTTTAAGCTGTAGAACTCTTTCTTCAATGTAAGTCCAATATGGAACCTCTGTTAAAATGAGGGATGCTGTGTTTGCAAGCATGGAGCTGGAGGTAGGATGTATCTTTGATAGGCTAGCACCTTAGTTCAGCTCCCTGCTCCTTCCTTCCCTTTTCCTCCTCTTTAACATCTTTTGAGGCACAACCTCCTTTCCTAAGGTATCTCTGGAGTACAGTTTGAAAATCGCAGATAGCATTCTGATTTTTTCTTCACTGGTGAGCCATTTTAGAGATGAAATATTTGGTACCTTTCTGCATATCCTAAATCTCCAGGGTTCTAAATTCCCAAATCCGTGTAGAAATGAGAACGCAGGAGAATTGTTAGCTTCACTGAGAATTTTAGTTTTGTTTAATATAGGTACTGTTCAGACTTAAATTTAAAAACAACAAAAAAAAACCCTAATGCACATTTTCCTGAGGTTAGTGATAGCATATTTATAGACCTAGACTGCTCGTTCTGTAGCTTATAGTTGAAGAGAGAGTTGAATGGGACCTTAAAGAGGAAACATCACTTATTTTGTAAGCCCTACAAGTTATTTTTAAGCTATTAAGGAAGAAACTGCTAATCATTTAACACGTGATTGAAGTTTTGAAATAGAAAAGTACATAGATTTTTGGAATAATAATAATAAAAAACAGTTTTTGTTTTGAAAAAATAATTTTAAACTGGCTGTAGTAATTGTGTGTGTAAAAACTATAATTTTAAATTCAGATAAGAAAATTTATTGGGTGCTTACTGACATTTATAGATGTTTCAGATGGTGTACTGTTTCACAACTGTTTCAGATGATGTACTAAGTGTGTCTCTGGTGTGTTTCTTATTTAATCCCCACAGTCCTGCACCTGTATTACCACATTTAAAATTGATGAGAATAGGGTGCCTGGCTGGCTCAGTCAGTAGAATATGTGACTCTTGATCCTTGGGGTTGTGAATTTGAGCCCCATGTAGGGCATAGAGTTTACTAAAAAAAACTGATGAAAGATTGGAGTCTTGGGTTAAATAATACATGGAGAGTTATCGTAAATAATGGACCCAGAGGACTGCCTGGGTGGCTCAGTGGGTTAATAAGCCTCTGCCTTCAGCTCAGGTCATGATCTTAGGGTCCTGGGATCGAGTCCCACATCAAGCTCTCTGCTAGGCAGGGAGCCTGCTTGCTCCTCCCTCTCTCTCTCTCTCTCTACCCCTCTCTGCCTACTTGTGATCTCTCTCTGTCAAATAAATAAAATCCTTTAAAAAAAAAAAAATAATGGACCCAGAGTTTGATTCTTAGTCTCAGTCTGTGGTTCTTCAGAGACCAGTGGTTCTTGCTTTCTGGGAAATGATGTTTCTTTGGGGCTGACAGAACAAGATTAGGGTTTATAGGAAGGGACGAAATATGGTCTGTTTGTAATAGAAACACTTATAGGTGAATTTAGTTACATCTTAGTTTTCCTTCTTTGTTTTTTATTTTGTTCAACTTTTCAGTTTTTTATTACCTATTTCCAACTTCTTTACCTGCACTAGTCATACATTATAGTCTTAAAATTTATTTTAGTCTTGTCTTCCTCCCCCCCCACCTTCCTCAAATTCTCTGGTTTAAAGGAGGTAAACTTGTTGCCTTTTGGGTTGTTTTTACACTGTAATAAATATGTATCTGGGTTTTTTCGTTCATTGTTTTTAACAAAATGACATTTTCTCCAAGGACTGTCCCACTTTTCCATGCCATTAAATTTTAAATTTAGGTAGTGAAATTTTGCCTCAGTTTTTACTTAAATAATCTCTGGGTCTTTAAAAAAAAAAAAAAAAAAGACCTTAAGTATCTTCAAATACATATCCAGTAAAGTGGTTAATGAATGTTATTCCAAATAAGTTTGCGAATTTCTTTATACACTGTAACTTTCCATCCCATTCCCCTTTTGGAGATAGCAGGTGAATGTTAGCATTTAAAAGCTTTGTGGTTAATAAATCTAACTTTGTTCACCCTGGCTGAATGTCCCACTCTGTTCTGCATTTAAAATGTAGCCTCTCAGCCTAACTCATCCACTGTTCCTTGGAAAATATTTTAGAAAGTGATACGAAACCGTAGGTAGAAAATGTTTCTAGTATAATTTTTAGAATTGTGTTATTCTATGTGATTTTTTTGTTGTTGTTTATCAAAAGTAGCTAGTCAGGATTTAAGATGGAATACAGATGGGATCCTGCCATGCTTAAAAATTAGTACAACGGTAAATTGTTACGGAAAACCATATTTTATTGATCTTAAGCTACTTTTTTTTTTACATAGATTAGATAAAGATGTGAATAAGTATTATTTGGGAATCCTCTTTTGTTTTAATATAGATTTTAGGGTTCTTTATAAAAATGTTAGCTTAGAGTTTTTATTTGGTGTTATTTTGAGTAAAATAGAAACTTGGTTATTGTTTGCCTGAGTATGATATTTAATGAACTATTTACCCTAACCTGCTGATACATCAGTCTACCTCCTGAGTAGATTGCCAGTTAGGGAGGATTTCTTTAAGATCTCTGGTTTGTGTTGTGAAAACATGAAGGCAGTTTATTAGTTATAATTTTATTTACAAACTTGATAAAATTTTGAAATATTTTTGTGTAGTTGATTCATTCAATTTTTGATACAGGACACATAGCACGTCATTTACAGAAAAAAAGAGCATTTAGGCCATGGAAGTACAGGCTTGAATTTGATTTAAATCCTGGTTACCTTGAATAAATTATTTAATATTAATGTAGCTATCAAGTGATAACTGTATGCTAGGCATGAGGAAATTGGGGGGAAGGGGAGATGATAGAACTCCTGTTGTTGAAGAATTCAGGCACTGGAACATTTGATTCATCCTCTGTATCTGTTATCATGTTGACAAAATGGGGGGTAAAAGAACTTAAAATCTCCATTATTCTGAAGAGGAATCATAGGTGCTCAACACAAGTTATGTGTTGTCATTCATATTGTTTAATCATAGACTACTCAGAGACAACAAAATATAGATTATTTCCCTTTCTTGTTTGGGAACTGCACTGGCTTTAGAGGTTTATTTTAAGTTGCTTCGATGTATCATTCATTCAAACGTTCTTTGTTCTGGCACCAGACATACTTGCTAATCTTCTAGAATTTGAGGGCCTTGTGCCATTGCATTGTGCTTTTTGTTCTTAGTTTTGATTTTTAACTAAGCATAACAGCTTGTCAGACTCCACAAAAATTACTTGTTATTTTAGCCTGATGAAAATGCTAATTTGAGAACAAGCAATCATCTAGGGTTGGGGAATCTGCAGACTTCTTCTGTAAAGGGCCAGATGTTTTTAGACTTTGTGGACCATATAGTCTCTCTGGGAACTAACTTTGCTATCATAGTGTGAAAGCAGCCATAGTCAGTACATAAATGAATGAGTATGGCTGTGTTCCAATAAAACTTTATTTATGGATACTGAAATTTGAGTTTCTTAAAATTTTCATATCACAATATTTTTTTAATTATTAAAATTTTCAGTTACTTAAAAATGTAAGTCATGCCTAGGTAATGGGCCTCACAAAAACAGGTGGCTAGCAGATTTGGCCATTGGGCTGTAGTTTGCTGCCACCGATTTAGAGCATAATCTATGAATTTGCTGTAGTTGTTAGATAATAATTGTAAGGATTGTATATATATTGGGGTTTGAATTCTGCTCTTTTCTTTTTCATCCAAGTTTACTTTTATAGACTAAATATGTGTGAATAATAGAAAACGAATAGGAAAAACATAGGGTATTTTTCTTTACTTATTTTTTGCCCAGTTAAGAATTTGAAGGGTGCTTTAAACAGCTGCTTACTCTCACATATTTTATCCATCTCAAGTCAAATTCTGTAAATGCGAATTTCAAGTAATTTGTACAAGGACTTCTGTACTTTGGATGTTTAAAATTTACATAGTAGCAAAATTTATCTTTTAAATAGATTGTATATAGGCAACTATACATTTACATCACATGAGCACTATTGAACAAAATAGTTTTTGTTTTGAAAATAATAATTTTTATACTGGCTGTAGTAATTGTATGTGTAAAAACTGTAACTTTAAATTCTGTTAACTTGCTTTCTGTAGACACCAGAGAAGAAACAATCAGAATCATCCAGAGGAAGAAAGAGAAAAGCAGAAAACCAGAATGAAAGTAGTCAGGGTAAGTGAAGCAAAATCTTTCAGAGCCAAATAAGTATTTATAATTAATCTGATTTTAATAGCTTAATATTTTGTAGAAGTAATATTGTATTTTTATCATTTTTATAGCTATTATAAATTCATGCATTAATAATAGTTTTTAAATGTACTTCCCATAAGAAAGAATAATAATATGAAATTGAAATGGTAGTATATGGTTACTGTTTTTAGGCTTTTGGACATTTCCCTTATTTTTTTTTGCTTGAGAATTCGAAAGGCCAAGTGTCATGTCTAAACCTGGCGAACATTACCTTACCACCTTTCATTTTTCTTTCTTTATCTGAATTACAGTGTTGAAATGGCTTCTTGTGTTTGAGTAAGAACTTTAGATGTCACTTTAAAGTGCAAGTACCAAAAGCTTGCTTATTCCTTTTATTTAAAAAAGAAAAAGGCTGTATAAAAATGGTTGAGATGCTTATTAAAGCATCATCTTTTTCTTTCCATACCTGTTCTTCATTCTTTCTTGCATGCCTACCCTTGTGATATAGACTAAGATGATGATTTTCAAGTCATCTACAAAACTCTTATAATGGACAACAAAGCAGTATTGTCGTTTAATTTTGTCACTCAAAATTAAATACAGTAAATTGGTTCTTAAGTCATATAGGTCTATATACATATGATTCATGTTTTGGAGCCGCTCTTTAGCTTTAAGGACTGGGACCAGGACCCATGGCTTGCTAATACTTACATGTTGCACTGATATCAAGGAATATATTTGCAGCAACTATCTGTGTGGAAGGAGGAAGTTAAGTCACTCTAGCGTCTTTCTATAGAAGTGTGGTATTTTGTATCTCCATCTCAAAGCTCAGTTTTGGTTTTAGTATAATTCCACCAGATTGTGGTTAGTGGCCTTGGAGCTTTATTTAGTGTAAAGATATATTAGTTATGATAGTTTTGACTTTAGATTTAAAAACTCACTTAAAAGCAGGTCCCAAATTAGGGTGAGACTTCTGGGTTGGTTGATTCAACCTGTGTTTTTAAAAATCCATGTTTATTTCTTTGCGGTGTGCTATCTATAAGACTTGTCTAATTTTCTTACGTTTTTAGAACAGCTGCCAGTTTTGACTGGATTTACTTGCTTGAGCTTTCACACTTGTATTTGTTTTAGAGAGAGGTTGACTTTCTGTGTTTTTTTTCCCCTCTTACTTTGAATATAAGGTTCTTCAAGTCCAGAGCAAACCTCTCCTGTAATCTTGTCAGCCAGAATTGGGTCATGAGTCCACATTCATTCCATACCCAGTTATGTCCAACAGACATACTGTTGCCCTTAGAAAAACCAGGTCTGTCTCTGAAATTCAAAGTGGGTAAAGTTCCTTTTAGAAATGTGGACTTTGTGGAGAAGGGATGTTTGATACCTGAACAAAATTGGATTTCTGATCAGGAGGGGAGAGGAACTAGGGTGGAGACCAGATAGGAGTCAGCTTTCCTTGATATTACATGTGGTATGTAGTGGGGAAGGAATATTAACAGCCAAGTTTGGGTTCAGTTACAGAAAAAGAATTAGAGACATAGCTTCTGGATAGGAAACCAAAACTGTCTCTTTTGTCTTTAAAGAATAGCACCTTCTTCAGAATCTGCAGGAAAATTGTTACAGGTGGGAGGAAAATTCTTTGGGTTTACAGGCGTGCCGTATAAATACTGCAGGTTTGGTTCCAGACTATCACAATAAAGCAAGTATCACGATAAATGAATCAAATTTTTTTGGTTTTCCAGTGTATTTAAAAGTATGTTTATACTGTAGTCTATGGTGTGTCAATAGCATTATGTCTAAAAAACATCATACATATCTTAATTTTTAAAATATTACTTAAAAATGCTGTCATCTGAGCTTTCATTGAGTTGTAATCACTGATAAGAAATATTGTGAGAATTACTAAAATGTGACACAGAGACATGAAGTGAACAAATGCTGTCTATTGGAAAAATGGGGTCTATAGACTTGCTCAATGCAAGGTTGCAAAAAACCTTCAATTTGTGTTTAAAAAAAAAAAAAACACCGAAATCAGTGAAAATCAGTAAAACAAGATGTGCCTTTAAAACCTTTACAGTCCTTTCTGACCTCTAAGTAAATCTGTACAAAACTGTTGTTCACACTTTCTAGGTACCATTTATATAGTCCTGGGCACTTAATTTTTCTTGTTCCACAAAAGAATTTAAGGTTGTTGAACTCTTAAATGTAACCTTTGTTCATCTCAGTAATGCTTGGCTTATAGTAACCACTCAAATATTTGTTGAATAAAATAAATGAATAAATGAATAAATGTGAGTATTGAATTGATAAATATATATGTTTTATATTATCCACAGGTTTTGAGTTCATGGTATTGTCATTTTCTCTTTGTATTGAAGAAATCATGTATTTTATATAGTTCCATTGTAGGGGTGGGTGCCTCTCATCCAAAAAAGTATCTCTAACACTGTATTTCTTAGCATCTTCTTAATTCAATATTTATAAAATTGATGATCCAATTTAGAGCAAAACTTTTAATTAAAGAACTGTGATATGTTATGATTTGGACCACTTTACCAATATGGTCATAAGAGCAGTATTTAAAATCTAGTCTGTTAAAAAGCATCCTATTAATCTGGGAATACCTTTTAGAAATCAAAATATTTTACAAAATAACATTCATGTTAAAGCATGTTATTGTCAGTTTGTATGATTTTGTGTTAAAGCTTTTTTATTATATGCTGGGTATGAGTTGATTTGTCGGTCATGCAGTTGCCACTTTGCTTTTTTTATTCATTGATTTGCTTTTATGAAATTAGTAGTGATTAAGTAATATGAATAATGTAGTTTTAAAAACAAAATCCTTTACTATCATTTATTTATTTGATTCTCCAGTAATTAGAACTTCAAAAATTGACATGTTTCTATTGAAATGTCACTTCATTTTTGGATTTCTGAAATTGGCATCTTACCCTCTGAGGGCTCTTGATACAATTTTGTCTATGTCCCTTACTAACCAACTAAAATACCATGTTGTTTTTATTAAACAGGTGATTTTTATGTATATTAGGGAAATTAAGTTTGACACATTCTTTTTCTGATATAGTATATGATAAGTAGTCCTGACTAACTTTACATCTATAAAACTTTTTTACTTTTATATTTTAGGAAAAAGTATTGGGGGACGTGGCCACAAAATTAGTGACTATTTTGAAGTAAGTCTATTAACAAATATCTCTAGTTCTTAATACAATTTTACTGTGGGCTGAAATAATTTCTTTGAAGCACAAGGTAAACTTTTGTAATGTCTTATCTTCCTAGGAACTTTAAAATTTACTTTTACAGTGGAATGGCACATCATAATCTTCAGAGTACTTTTTCACATATTTGCTTATGACAACCGAGGAGTTAGGTACAGTAGGTATTAGTGTTTCTGTATTACATATGAGGAAACTGAGGACCAGAGATGTAAAGTTGCCTATTTAAAGTCAAATTCTAAGTGGAAGAGCAAAGAGGGGCACCTGGTTGGCGCAGTTGGTTGAGTATCCGACTCTTGGTTTAGGCTTAGGTCATGATCTCAGGGTCACGAGTTCCTACCCCATGCAGGGCTCCCCACTCAGCATGGAGTTGGTTTAAGATTCTCTCCTCCCTCTGTCCCTCTCCTCTCTGCATGTCTGCCTCCTCTTTCTCTCACTCGAATAAATCAATCTTTAAAAAAAAAAAGGAAGAGCAAGAAGAGAAGTTAGAGTCTAATAGCCTCTGATTAAGAACTGTTTCTACTGTCATTGCAGCCTTTATGATAGCACCATGGCAACATTTGAGCCCCTTAGATAGAAATTAAATAATGATAGAAGTGTGAATCTGAGAGCCCTGAAAATAATAAATAGTGGTATATTTAGATTCTTACCCAGTTTGGAATATTTTCGTACATCTACACAGAAATATTTTTGGCTACCAATTTTACATTACAGAACGTTAATATGATTGTTAAAACAACAAACATGATCTACTCAGTAGAAAAAAATTTATATTTACTTGAGTGTGAGAGCAGAATTTGCCATTCAGGGGAAGGGCTTTATTAAAAAATTTTTTTTACCATCCATTGTTTTTCTTAATTGGGTTTACGGTATCTATGGTAAAAGTGTTGCTCAGCGTCTAGTGTTGCTGACCAGATGCTCTTTAACTGAGGTCAGTCCCTCAGTGTTATTATCAATTAACAATCTTTTCTAAAGATTGGATCAGTTCAAATAGATAAATCTCAGGTCTCTTGAATGCTCATGTGTCACGAGTTCTGCTAGGTACTGTAGTTTAAAAAAAAAAAAAATTAGACAAAGTCCCGAGGTTACACGAAGATACATTAGGAGGTCACCTGAGAGGAAGCCAGTAGCAGTGAATTGTTTTCTCCTCCTACCGTTGGTAGAGAAACATGAGAAATTTGAAATTTAGCTGTGGAATACATTAGGTGGCTTCTCTTCATATGCACCTAGGTCATGCACTGTAATGCATGTTACGCATGAGAGAAGGGATTGATATTTATAAGATTTTGTGCTGTTAAAGGGAAGGGACTTAATCTGTGTAATTTTTTATATAGTACTACAAACATTTGGATTTTTAACAGATCTTGAGAATGATGATCCTGTTTTAAGATGGTTTATTACATTCACTAACATCTACTTGTAACTATGTTAATTTTGGGGTATTAGAGATTATACTGCTTCAACAAACATTTATAGTGGGGCTGTATTAAAATTTGAAGGAAAAATAATATATGTTCATTGTTTGGGAGAAATTAATTTATCTTGAGTCTGCCGCAGTAACAGATTATAGTCAGAATGCTCAAGAAATAAGGGTCATTACTGAATAGTCTTCTCACATTCCTGTGATCAGTATTCTCTATTTAGTCTTTTAGGACTCGTCTGTAACTGACCTTAGTTTTGCTTTTTCTTGTTCCATTTAAATCACTACTGATTTAATTTAGAAGATCTATTTAAGTTAATTCTTAAGGTCATATCAAAAATAACACCTAGCTAAACCTGTTTTAATAAAGAGTGATGTTTCCTTTTTTTTTTTTTTTCCTCAGTACCAAGGTGGGAATGGCTCAAGTCCAGTAAGAGGCATACCTCCTGCGATCCGTTCTCCTCAGAATTCACATTCACATTCCACTCCTTCTTCATCTGTAAGTTTTTACATGTGTAGGTAGTCTTCTGTGTGCTGAATATATGTATATATATACTGAATAACTTTTCATTGAGAACTTCTACATACATTTATTTGTATTTATCTTTTTAGAAAATCATTCTGTGAGGTAAGTTAAGTTCTTTTTAATGATCTGATGCTGCTAGAACTTTATTTCTTCAAGTGAGATCTTTAAGTTAAAGATTTCCTGAATTAACTATATCCCAAGAAGTGATGTTTCTATAAAAGAATGTGGTCAAGCCTATGGGACTAAAACAAATAACTCTTTTATCAGTCTGTATTCAGTTACTGATTTCTAATTCTAACTCTCTTAGCAATTAAATTTCTTAACCACTGAAGTATAGCCTATTTTCTTTCCTAGGAATCCTTAAGATAAAGGTAGGCAGCCTTTATCTCTGGATCATTTTAGTTAAACATAGGAAAAGGATATTGGGCCTAAAAATTATTTTATAGCTTTTTGGTTTGTTGCTAGTGTTTTAAGATCTAGTTCTATTTACATGCATTGTCTTCCTTTTGGATTTCATTTTTTCTTTAGTTTTATTATATGAAAGTTTAATGTCTAACAAGAAAAGCAGAATTGGCTTTTAGTAATTTAAAAAATTAAAGATATTTAAAAATCAGAGTATCTCTTATTTTTTTCAAGTACTCTGTCTTTACTTCAGTGTCCCCTTCTACTCCTTGCCTGTAGACACACACTTAGTTGTATCTTAACTTCTTTTGTACGTTGGCTACATCATACTGCCATATGTAAAATAAAGTGTCAGACTCAACAAATTTTGAGTTCCAGTGATGGCATTGATACAATGCTAGAATCTGTTTTCAGTGGTGTGTTTTAAAACTAGTAACTAGATAAACCATGAAACTCATCAGTAGATTGATGTTACACTATATATGGGTGTGCACTATTGCCCTTGGTAGTAAGAGTTATATATTAAGATCTTTTCAGTTTTACTTATTGAACCACTATCCTCTGTTCTTAATATTTTTGTTTTGAGATAATGTATTTTGCTTTGTTATACTTAATAGATTGAAAGCATTTAAAAATTTTTTTATGGTTCTAGAATGTAAGCTGCTCAGGCAAGGAATATAAATGGTTGTTTCTTTTCACTGTGCCTTATGTAAGGGAGGGTACTCTAAAAATGAATGCTTATTGAATAAATGATTAAAAGTTTTAAAAAGTCAGTTATGTTTTAATTCAGCTGTTATCCTGATAAAAACTTAAGAAGTGTTATGTAGTTGTTGCTGAGCAAAAGCCTATATTTTTCTTGCTAATGTAAAAATTTTAATCTTTTTCTAAGGTTCGACCGAATAGCCCTTCTCCTACTGCATTAGCTTTTGGGGACCACCCTGTTATACAACCAAAGCAGTTATCCTTTAAAATTACTCAGGTAAATAGTAAATAAAATTTTTTGCATGACTTGTAAGAAACTTAGTGCAAAAAGATGTCTTCTCTTTTAGACATAGTTAGAAAGTAAAATTATACATCAAGAAAGCTAATTACTAAACAGAAAAACTATTTGTTGGGTGGAGGTTAAGAAATTGAAACACCCACTTTACTATCAGCTTATCCTTTGTTACATGCTGGTTAAATATGTAGATATAAGCATTTTAAATAAACAGAATAAGCATGACTTGTCAGTTTTGTTTATTGCTTCTTTTTGAACATACCATCCAAGTACATATAATCAGTGTTTCCTGAACTTAATACTTGTCACGAGTGAACTTAATTAAAGCAGTTCATTTTGGGTGTCTATATTTCACTTAAAGGTATCATTTGAAAATTAGATATCTTTTATGCTTACTTGATTTTATGAATTTGAGTATTACGTTTTTCATTTTAACTTTTTACATGTGATAGTTTTTGGATTTTAGTGTATCAGATTAGGGGAATTGGAAGAGTAAATCTTTTTGCTTAGCCATCTTTATTACCCCAGTTTATTGCCATTAAACTTTTCTGTTAGGTCATGTCCAAGCTATTGCACATGCATCAAAACATCTTTCTTTAGATGATCTTTAGGCTAGGATTACAGGTACATTGCTTACAGTCACTGAATAGCTCATGAAAGCTTTTGCTGTGTTCAAAGATCAGCTAGCATTGATAGCATAAAGCAGCGGTTACATTCAGTTTTAATGAAGAACACTACAATATTCTAAAACTTTTAGTAATCAGTTTTTTAAATGTTTCTTTGTAAGCTTGTAGAACTTACACTTCTGAAGATGTTAAAACTTAAAACTATACTAAAACTTTTTTGGATAACTTTTACATACACAAACTCAAATATTTTCTTTGTTTTTAGGACTGAAATCTAGTTTTTATTTGCATGCAATGATATGTATAATGGAGTTAGTAAAATAGCTTTCTTTCATTTAGACTGATCTCACAATGCTGAAATTAGCAGCATTAGAAAGTAATAAAAACCAGGACCTGGAAAAGAAGGAAGGTCGTATAGATGACTTGCTCAGGGTAAGTAATAAGTCATGGAGAGGGAAAAAATTGAGTTAATTACTTGGCAATAATAAAACTTGAGGAAATAATTAGCATTATAAAAAATTCTTCAGCTGGGGAAAAAAAACAAACTTTTTCTGGTAGTTTTAAGTACATGAAAAATCACTATTTTAAAGTGAAAATTACTAGCCTTTAAATATGAATTGAGAGGGGCATCTGGGTAGCACAGTCAGTTAAGCGTCCAGCTCTTGGTTTCAGCTCAGGTCTTGATCTCAAGTTCGAGCCCCAAGTTGGGTTCAGAGTGGAGTCCACTGGAGCTTCTCTCTCCCTCTTCCTCTCCCCCTCCCACTTATGCTCTCTCTCTAATATATTTAAGTTTATTAGTGTGGAGGAAGCTGATCTAATTTCCTACCATAAAAATATCATTGGTGCAAAGGAATTAAGATAAGCGAGTCTGTTGCCTATTTTCTCTCTCTAATATAAATAAATCTTTAAAATAAATATAAATAAATGTGAATCGAGAAACAGTTGGAGAAATACAGAGAAGTTTGTAAAATTTATTTTCATTTGATCAGCTATCATAAGACCGATGACCATTTCATGTTAGTTTTAAAGGTAATTGATTTTGTTTTAAACCTAACTGACATTTGATACTACACAAGATGAAGTAACTACTGCAATCCTGTGAGATTTTTAATTGAAGCTTTTTATTTTAATATTTTAAAATTTTCAATTTTAATTGAAACTTTATAAAAGGACATATCAAAGAATACTTAAAATATGAGTAAGGTAAGAAGCAGTGCTTCTCAGTCCTTGCCACTCAGTAGAATCACCAAATGGGAAGGGTGGGAGGCACTTTATAAAGGTACATGCCTAAACTCCATCCTGAGGGGTTGTAATTAAATTGATGTTGTGTGGGGCTTGGGCATTGGTAGTTTTAAAAGCTCCTCCAAAAAAAATAAATAAATAAACTCCTCCAGATGATTATAATTATAATTTAAGCCAGCATTGAGAACTATTAGTGTAGAAACTCAATAAAACCAGTGTTTCATCTGTGATCCTACCACAATTACTGATACCTTTGAAACATCCAGCTTGCCTTTCCTGATCCTATCCCAGTCACTCTCTCACCTTCTTTTACCATTAACTACTGTTCTAAGTTCTTTATTTATTATGCCTTATTATTATAGTTTTATCACATGTATCTGTAGATTCTTAACATATTTCAGTATTTTTTTTTTAATTTTAAATTTTATTTTTTTGAGAAAGAGAGAGAGAGTGCACAAGCCAGGGGAGGGTCAGAGAAGCAGACTTCGTCCATGGAGCAAGGAGCCCAACATGGAACTTGGTCCCAGAACTCTGGGATCATGGCCTGAGCGGAAGACTGACACTTAACCAACTGAGCCACTCAGGCACCCCTTCAGTTTATTTTTGAACTTTACATAAAATTATGCTCTCTGTACCCTTTTGCCCTGCTTGTTTTCACTAAACTTTATACATGGAATTGTCATGTACTTTGTTCATTTCATGCTCTCTCTATATAGTAAGGCATTATATGAATATACCATAATGTATTTTTTCTGCTCTTGGTGGACATTTTGTTTCTGCTTTTTGTTAATGTGAATAGTTCTGCTAAGAATATTATTGTACATGTCTTCTAGGGCAAATGTGGAAAATTTGTCACATTGTTCTTTAAGAGAGACCTGGCCACAGTACATGGCATGTAAATGTTCAGTTTTGCTTTATAATGCCAAATTTTCCCCAAAGTGGTTGGATTAATTTATACTCCTATGAGCAATAAATAATCTTGTTGCTTATTATCTTTGCTAAGGCTTATTATAATCAGATATAATAAATTTTTGGCCAGTTCAATGGATGTAACAAAGTGTCTTTTGTCTTTTATTATGTGTTCTCTATTTTCTAGCATCTTTTAAAATACTTATTAATTTTGTTCTTCAGAGAAATAACTGGTCATGTTTTTTGCTCACCTTTCTTAATGGGTTGCTGTTTGTGTTTTTTTTTTACTTTTAAAACATTTTTAATTTAAATTTAAATTAACATATAATGTATAATTGTTTTCAAAGGTATAAGCCTGTGATTGCTCCAGTCTTATATAATACCTAGTGCTCATTACATCACATGTCCTCCTTAATGTGTATCACACAGTTACCCCATCCTTCCACCTCCCACCCCTCCAGCAACCCTCAGTGTGTTTCCTATGATTAAGAGTCTCTTATGGTTTGTCTCCCTCTGTGGTTTTGTCTTGTTTCATTTTTTCCTCTCTTTCCCTGTGATCCTGTGCCTTGTTTCTTGGAGTCCACATGTAAGTGAGATCATATGATAATTGTATTTCTCTGATTGACGTATTTTGCTTACAATAATACCCTCTTTCCATTCATGTTGTTGCAAAAGGCAAGAATTCATTTTTTGATGGCTGAATAATATTCCATTGTATATAATATACTACTTCTTCTGTATCCATTCATCCATCGATGGACATCTGGGCTCGTTCCATAGTTTGGCTGTTGTGGACATTGCTGCTGTGAACATTGTGGTGCAGGTGCCCTTTCAGATCACTACATTTGTATCTTTAGGGTAAATACCTAGTAGCACAATTACTAGATTGGAGGTAGCTCTATTTTCAACTTTTGGAGGAACCTCCATAGTGTTTTCCAGAGTGGTTGTACCAGTTTGCATTCCCACCAACCGTGTTAAGAGGGTTCCCCTTTCTCCACATCCTTGCCAACATCTGTTGTTTCCTGACTTGTTAATTTTAGCCATTCTGACTGATATGAGGTGGTATCTCATTGTGGCTTTGATTTGTATTTCCCTAATGCCTAAGCACTTCTTCATGTGTCTGTTGGCCATTTGTGTGTCTTTGGAGAAATGTCTGTTCATGTCTTCTGCCCATTTCTTGATTGGATTATTTATTTTTTGGGTGTTGAGTTTGAGAAGTTCTTTATAGATTTTGGATACTAGCCCTTTATCTGATAAGACATTTGCAAATATCTTCTCCCATTCTGTTGATTGTCTTTTGGTTTTATCAACTGTTTCCTTTGCTGTGAAAAAGCTTTTTATCTGATGATGTCCTAGTAGTTCATTTTGCCTTTTTTCCCCTTGCCTTTGGAGACGTGTAGCAAGAAGTTGCTGTGGCCAAGGTCGAAGAGGTTGCTGTGTTCTCCTCAAGGGTTTTTTTTTTTTTTTTAAAGCTTTTACTTATTTATTTGACAGAGATCACAAGTAGGCAGAGAGGCAGGCAGAGAGAGAGGGAGAGGGAAGCAGGCTCCCCGCTGAGCTGAGAGCCCGACGTGGGACTCAATCCCAGGACCCTGAGATCATGACCCAAGCCGAAGGCAGCTGCTCAACCCACTGAGCCACCCAGGCGCCCCTCCTCAAGGGTTTTGATGGATTCCTGTCTCACTTTAAGTTCTTTCATCCACTTCAAGTCTGTTTTTGCATATGGTTTAAGAGAATGGTCCAGTTTCATTCTTCTGCATGTGGCTGTCCAATATTCCCCACACCATTTGTTGAAGAGACTGTCTTTTTTCTGTTGGACATTCTTTCCTGCTTTATCAAAGATTAGTTGGCCATAGAGTTGAAGGTCCATTTCTGGGCTCTCTGTTCTGTTCCACTGATCTTTGTGTCTGTTTTTGTGCCAGTACCATACGGTCTTGATGATGACAGCTTTGTAATAGAGCTTGAAGTCAGAATTGTGATGCCACCAGCTTTGCTTTTCTTTTTCGACATTCCTCTGGCTATTTGGGATCTTTTCTTGTTCCATACAAATTTTAGTATTATTTGTTCCAGTTCTGTGAAAAAAATTGATGATATTTTGATGGGGATTGCATTGAATGTGTAGATTGGTCTAGGTAACATAGACATTTTAACGGTATTTGTTCTTCCAGTCCATGAGCATGGAATATTTTTCCATTTCTTTTGGTGTTTCCTTCATGAGTGTTCTCTAGTTTTCTGAGTACTAATGCTTTGCCATTTTGGCTATGTTTATTCCTAGGTGTCTTATGGTTTGGGGTGCAATTGTAAATGGGATCGACTCCTTAATTTCTCTCTCTTCTGTCTCATTGTTAGTGTGTAGGAATACATTTTTTGGATACCAGTTTTTTGTTGTTCCTATATATTGATTTTCTCCCAGATAATGGACTTAACTTAGCTGAGGTTAGATACTTTAGGGTGTTGGTTTGAACTTATGAAGTCTAGATACAAATTCCACGTACTTTCCACTGCACAATTACATAGCACTTAACAGTATTATCCATGGTTAGTAGATGTTTAAAAAAATAATTTTAGTATCATACTCAAATACTTTTCTTTTTATGTAATTTATTGAGAATGTAAGAATATTCCTAAGTATCTCATATACACAAATTCTAGACCTTTTCTATTTTTACTTATGTTGTAGGCTAACTGTGATCTCAGACGGCAAATAGATGAACAACAAAAATTACTTGAAAAATACAAAGAACGATTAAATAAGTGTATATCAATGAGCAAGAAGCTGCTTATTGAAAAGGTAAGTTTAAAAAGTTCAGTGAATTTTCCTTTTCATTCCACTGGCCCTTTTTCACCTTGTGTAGTTTTTAAATGAATAAAATTGATGATTTTTTTTCCTCCTTTTTTCAGAGTACACAAGAAAAATTGTCAAGCAGAGAAAAGAGTATGCAAGACCGATTACGCCTTGGGCACTTCACAACAGTTAGACATGGTGCTTCATTTACTGAACAATGGACAGATGGTTTTGCGTTTCAGAATCTTGTGAAGTTAGTCATTCTTATATTTTAAAAAAATGTAGTGTTCCTTTGGGTTTTTGTTACTTCCAGAGATTATAGATTTGGAATTGTGTTTTATTTCTACTCCTTACTGCTCTTTGAAATCACAGAATTTAGTACATTTGAAAGGAATGTAAAACAAAAGTATTACAATTTCAACTTTAGCCGATTTCTTGATTAGTCAGCATTCATCCATACTATATATTATTCTAAGTATTACTTTCCAAAATATAAACTGATCCTCTAGCTTCATCGATGAATTGGGAGGGAATTTTAATTTTCATTCATATATATGGATATATATGTATCTTGGAATACACACGCACACACACACACGTGTGTGTGTGTGTGTGTATCTCTCTCTCTCTCTCGGGATTTTTCTACTTAGTTTTTTCCACATTCTCCAGTCATTACTTCATTGTTATTTTTCAGCTCTTGCTTGCTTGCTTTCTGTTCCTTCTGCTTTAGATACAATAATTCATAAATTATTTGAGGAATATGTAGGTTTAGCATTTCTAAACATTGCTAAAGTTTGCCTTAGCAAACTTTAAAACAGATATTGACTTAAGATGATGGTAGATAGGGATAGATTGACTATGAATTAAGGAGTTAGGACCTGTGCTGCTTTTTTGTTTTTCACTCTAAAACTTTTTAAACCTCAAAAACAGGAGTAGTGCCAGCATCTACATCAGATTTGCTAGAGTTCTATAGAAAATGGAGGCAAAGCTACATCTAGTTTATAAACATTGCTGTTTCAAACACTGGTTCCCAGGACTTAGCACAGAATGGCCTTCTCTCTCCCACAGTTGATTTATTTATCTTTTGTACAGCACCAGCTATGCTGGGTGACAGGTATACCATAATGAACAACAGAGTTCTTGTGATCCTAGGGAGTTTGGCTTTTAATTCAAAGGTTTGTATGTAGTGTGTGTGGTCAGAATTAAGTTTTAGAAAGATAACTGGTGATACATGTGGGACTAATATTGGAAAAAAGATAAATTATTGACAGCAGAGGTATCCAAATGAAAGATGATTAGGCTTGAGCTAAAATGCCAACAATGAAAGGTAGAGAATAGGAGATATATTTTAGATAGAAACCATGTTTTTGAATGTTAAATAGGCAAGAATTTCTGCTACTAAACTCCGATCTACACAGTTGTCCTGATAATGAATAAAATAGGCTACATAATATAACCTTAAATACAAACTAAATATACATATCTAAAATAGTTCTTTGTAGCGAAAATTTCTCTAAGCTGTCAGCAAAATTGGAGCCTCTGGGTTGGTGATGGTGAACACCTGGAGGTTTGGGGAGAGTCGTGCAATTAGAGAGCACCTGGAAGCCCCACACCCTTGGCCCATACCTTACCCTATGCATCTCTTCCAGCTGGCTGTTCCTTTTTATAATAAACGAGTAATCTAGTTTTTAAAAAATTACTTACATTTCTTGTATTGTGGGCCTATTTTGTGTTATTACATACGCATATATTAAATCAAGCTGCTTATCAGTGTGAATTAAGTGGTTTATCAGAGACATAACCAAAGTAGTTGGTGGATGAGAAGAGAAATAAATATTAGTAATATTAAATTAGTAATCTCTAAATTCTGTAGGCATTCCTAAATAATCAGATAATAGCTTTCTATTCATTCTAGTAATTCTTTACTTTCCATTAGGATTTTAAACATTAGGATTATTGCCATTTGTTTTCATTTATAGCATCTTGATTGTGCTCTAAACTAGCTTTAAAAATTAACTTTTTTAATTAAATGAAGTTATATATTTCTATTTCCAAAGGAAAACTGGGTTAAACTCCTGATCTAGCTTTGCTGTTGCTGAATTTTCTCCACCTTTTACTCTTCTGCCTCAGTGGCTATTGATTCTTTCATTCTGGTCATACTCTACTCTCTGGCTAGAATCATAGGATCAGGCAATATGTTTAAAGGCAGTTTTGGGTCAGCAGAATAGAAGTTCTGTAGTTCTGCTTTAAGTAGGGGCGGGGAGCCAAGGAATTGAAACATTTGTCTTTTTTAAATCTAAGTACCATAACCATGTAGAGGTTTAAAATTTTTTTCTTAGCATGTTGAGGTGACCTAACAGGGAACATGGTTACTATGAGAACAAGTTGTGTGGTGGGATAATTTTAAAAAGCTTCACTGTCACTTACTCTTGCTCTGGTCAGATTGCTGAAATTAGAGTTAGTAAGCTTTAGGTTCTTGGATAAGAAGCAGTAATACTTTTACTTTTATTAATTTGCTCATTTTTCAGTATCATGCTGATTTTTTTGTTTCCCTCTTTTTTTTTCTTGTCTCCTTCAAATTGTCAAAATTCTTTCTTCATAAATTTCTAATATTTAGGTCAGTTTTTGTTTCATTTCAAGGTACCGCTTACACAGTCTCAAAATCTTTTTGACATAGACAAATTTAGAAAATAACACTTTATTAACTTGTCTTTTTAAAGTTTTTCTAGTAAGTGATGAGATGCATGTTTAAAATTTCTGTGCTTATTTCTGTTCTTTATTTTAATAGCCCATTTGTTTCATTGAGCAAGTATTAACTAAATTCCTAGTATGTGCTGATGATTATGCTGGGCACTAGGAATATAATAGGATATAAAATAGATGTGGTCTCGGTTTTCATGCAGTAGTGTGTCTAGAGACATTCTAATCAAGTATCTGTAGGAATGATACTCACTAGGAAGGAGGTAGAGATCTCCAAGGTACCATGAAATTAAACATAGCCACACATTTTTCCCTACTTCAGGGGATTTAGGGAATTTAGAAATGAATGCTTCAAATGAGACCTGGACAGTGAGTACAAGTAGGTTCAAAAAGGTGGAACCATAATATTTGTTAATGTTCATGCTTTTTCATGTTTATTGGTATATTCTTGTTTTAACTGTGAAGAGTAACGAAAGTTAATACAGTTTTTTACATTTATTTTTATACAGGCAACAAGAATGGGTGAATCAGCAAAGGGAAGATATTGAGAGGCAAAGGAAACTTCTAGCCAAACGCAAACCTCCCACAGCTAATAATTCTCAGGCACCCTCTACCAATTCTGAACCAAAACAAAGGAAAAACAAAGCAGTCAATGGAGCAGAGAATGATCCCTTTGTTAGACCAAATTTACCACAACTGTAAGCCTTCATTTTAATTTTCCTTTTTTTTTTTTTAAATTGTTGCCAGTGAGCATGAGTGTTAGATGTTATTTATATTTGCGCTAATACTTAAATACTAAAAATAGTTATGACCAGGAAGGAAAGCAGTATTAAAATTTACTTCTAAATTAATAATGTCCAAATACCCGAATTCAGCCTTTGTAAGTGGAGACTTATTAATTCTCTTTTCAAATGAAGACATAGCAGCTAAGAGGAAACTGGAATCCTCTTTCTTCATGTCTGAATAATAGAATCAGTTATTAGTTTTGGTTATCTCAATTCTGTATTTCCGATAATGTTACTTTTTCTGAGAGAATATTAAACAATATAACTGACATTTATTTTCTTAACCTATGAAAGCAGTGCATTGGTAGGTTATAGGTATTGTTTTTTCCCTTTCTGCTTTTATTTTCTAAATTTTCTAAATCAGTGATGAACTGCTCTTTATAGTTCAGTGGGCAAAGAGCTTTTTAAATAATTAAATGCTTATTATACATAGAAAATTGGAAAATATGAAAGAACATAGTATTATAGACCATGATTCCATCCACAGAGAAGACCATTGTTAAAATTTTGATTTATCGATGTGTCTGAACATGTAATTTTTTTGTTCTGTAGGAACTTAAGTTTTCTGAGTAGAAAATACACACACACACACGCACACTGTTTGATGTTTCTGTGTGGGTGTATTCTTTCTTCCCTTGTTGAAAGGTAATGTTTCATCTGTGCTTTGATTCCCATACCCTGCTACATGAGGGACTCTTCTATGGACACCTCCTTTATCTTCTATTGTCAGCTTTTTGTTCTCTACTGGTTCCTTCCTTTTAGAAGACAAAATGAAACCAAAAACTCTGCTTCAATTATATATCCCTCTGTTCTAGTCTCCATATCCTGTCATCTTTATAACCACATTTCTTGAAAGATTGCTTGTACCAGTCTCTTCTGTCTCACCTTCCATTTTCTTTCCTTTTTTTTTTTTTTGAAGATTTTATTTATTTATTTGACAGAGATCTCAATTAGGCAGAGAGGCAGACAGAGAGAGAGAGAGAGAGAGGAGGAAGCAGGCTCCCTGCTGAGCAGAGAGCCCAATATGGGGCTCCATCCCAGGACTCTGGGATCATGACCTGAGCTGAAGGCAGAGGCTTTAATCCACTGAGCCACCCAGGTGCCCCCCATTTTCTTTCTTAAATGAAATTGCCTTTTAAAGGTGAGCTATCTTTTTGATGCTCCATGCCATAGACATTGGAGTCTTTAACTTGGCAGCATTGAATAGTGTTGATTTTTTTTTCGTTTTTAAGATTTTCTTTATTTATTTGAGAGAGAGAGAGTGAGAGAGAGCCTGAGAAGGGAAGGAGGTCATAGGGAGAAGCGGACTCCCCATGGACCTGGGAGCCTGCTGCAGGACTGGATCCAGGGACTCCCCAGATCATGACCTGAGCCGAAGGCAGTCACTTAACCAGCTGAGCCACCCAGGAGCCGGATTATTGTTGACTTCTTATTTTTTCCCAAAGGACTCTTTCTTGCCTTTAGTTTTTGAAATACCTTGATCTCCGAATTTTCATTTTTCTTCTCTGCTCATCTTCTCAGTCTGTTCTATGGACATCATTTGCATTACCAATTTGTAAAATGTAAGTGTCTTTTAAGGATCTGTCTTGGTCATCATCCTACTTTACATCTTTTTCTTGAAAATTAGCTACTCTCAGAGTTTCAGTTATCACATATATATGCTTCTGACATCCAAGTTTCTGTCTCTTGTCTGCTTTTCTTTCTTGCATATTAAATGTATCTCAGTTTTGAATGTCATATCCTTTCTTGTTATCAGTACTTAAGTGCTTCTGATGTAGCCTTTTTAAAACTGTATTTACTAAAAACACAGAACAAAACAAAAACAATTTACTCTTCCCGTTCCAGTCGGTCTCTCTCCACACATATACACATACACTCATCTGCACATCCACGTACACACCCCTTGCCTTCTGCTGTGTTTTCTCTGTTAGTAAATGGTACTACTGTCCTCTCAGTTCTATATGCCAGGTTTTTATTATCATCCTTAGTATTTTAGATCAAGATTTTATTTATTTTCCTTAATCCATTTTTATTATTTTCCATTAATAAATAGGTGGTAATAAGCTTATTTTTCAAAATCTACCTTAAAATCTACTTCCATCTTCAAACCTTTTCTAATCCTAGGGGCCTTTTATAAATTGGAATTAAAACATTCAGCTATTGATATTTTTTTTAAAAATAGCAGATGGTTTACTTTTTGTAAATTAGTAAATTTGTTGTTTAATAAAGGGTAGATGGGTAGATGAGTGCTAATACAGAATACAGTGTGTGTTTGGTTTAGCTCCACTCCTGTGAGACACCAGTCCTTCTAGATCTCAAGTGTACCCATTTATGTAAGTCCCCATTGACAGACACCATTCTAACTCAAGTTACTGTCCTCTCTTACTTGGGTTATTTTTTTCCACCTACCTTTCCTTTCAGCTTTGGTTTAGCAATCCAGTTCGTTTTCATTTTGCAATCAGAATCATTTTTGCAGAATATCCTTTTGTTCTCTTATCACCTTAACATAGCTCTCTGTTTCTTGAATCATAGAGTCCAAAAGTTCTAAGAAGATTTCTGAAAGCACTTTTGATCTGACATTTTTGGACCACTCTAGCCTCATCTTCTGTCACTAACCAGTGCCTACCCTTCATTGCCAACTTTCAAACTCCCAACCCATGGTTTTTAATTCCTTTTCATCTTTTAAATCCTATTCTCGGTATTTCTTCCTAAAAGCTTTTCCTTGATCCCTGAAGGATAGGGGTTAATTATCACTTTAATGTGATAGTGTCCTCTGTCTCTTCAGTCACAGCATCACTATTTACTGTGTTAATGGCACTAGAAACATCCTTCATGTTTTCCTTTCCCTCATTCTCTGTTTCTGTAGCATCTTGTATTTGTCCATCTTCATTGCCATGATCTTAGTACAGGACCTCAGCTCTTTTTTTAACCTAGATTATGGTTTCCCACATGTCTCTTCATGTCAGTTTCACATTTAACCTTCACTGACCTTCAAGATAAAATTCACCCTCATGAAGGACTCTTCATAGGCCTTATTTTTCTCTTTCATTTCACGCCCTACATCTGTCTTACATCTCTTCTGTTAAACTCTTAGTTCTCTAAGTGGATTAGGTGTCCTTGTTTCTGTGCCTTTATACACCTCGTTCCTTGCCTTTCTTCACCTGTCTCATTGCCTGTTCATCCTTTAAGGCTTGGCTCAAATACCAGTTGCAGTAGAAAGCCCTTTCTAACTTTTGTTCTTCCCATTTTCTCCCCCATTTCTCCTCAGGTTAGGTGCCCATAGCCTTTTTATATGTGCCTCTTCTGTATGTAGCATTTATCTCACTGTTTTATTTCTATATTCCCAATATGTAGCACAGTATTCGGACATGAAAAGTGGCCAGTAAATGTCAAATTCTGGTACTTAAGCATTTGATTGAATTTCATTTTCTCCTTCTCACTAGTTCCTCCTTCATTTTTCTAGTTTGTCACAGGTATTTTGCTTACTTGCCTTCCAAGATACTTAACAGGCCTAACTATTGTTTAATAGTCATAGACTTGTCTTATTTCCACCTTACTTTATGATACATATTGACTGAGAACTAACCCTAAAGTGAACTGCTATGTGTTTTTGGAATGGCAGGTGAAGTGATAATGCATAAAAGTTTGACTCTTTATACAAATGCAGATTTAAATAGGGAAAAAAGCCATAGAAGCACTTTTTTTTTTTTTTTTAAGATTTGTTTGTTTATTAGAGCATACACGAGAGCAGGGGAAGGAAGGGGCAGAGGGAAAGGAGAGAGAGAATCTCCAGCAGTCTCCCTGCTGTGGGAGTCTCAGTCGATGGGGGACTCGATCACAGAACCCCAAAATCATGACCTCAGCCCAGATCAAGAGTTGGATATTCAACTGTTCAACTGGCTCACCACCCAGGTGCCCCAGAAGCACTTTGGTTTATATATTAACTATATTTTAGTGGCTATTCTCTGCAACTATCTTCTAAAAATTCCTTTTGAATAACTGTTTTGGTGGTAACTAGAACATCTTGTGTATATGCAGAACATCTAGTTTAATTAGAAGAGAAACCATAAATCTTTAATTATTTTTCTATCAAGAAATTAACATAGAAAATGAAGCTACTACTATGTAGTGGTTAGGACTTTAGCATTGTAGACAGACAGATGTGGAATCTATCCTTGACTCTTTCAGGTTATTATTTTTGGTAAGCTCTTTTACTTCTTTGAGTCTCCCATTTCCTCATTTGTAACAGTACCTATATCATAGTGTTGAAACGATGATATGAGGTAATGCATGTTAAAGTACTTGCGTGGTTCCTGATTCTTAACTAATTTTTAACTACCAGCCAGATTCGGTCAGGTTTTGTCTTGTTTTGTTTTGTTTTTAAGATTTTTTATACATTTATTTGACAGAGATCACAAATAGGCAGAGAAGCAGGCAGAGAGAGAGGCGGGGAAGCAGGCTCCCATCGAGCAAAGAGCCCGATGTGGGGCTCGATCCCAGGACCCCAGGATCATGACCCGAGCCGAAGACAGAGGCCTTAACCCACTGAGCCCCCCAGGCGCCCCTCGGTCAGGTTTTTTAGACAGCAATTTCTAATTCTAGTCACAAAGACTTCTTTTATTCAGAATGGTTTGTATAGATGATGTTATTTATGGCTGTCTAAATGACTCTTGTGTTAATTGTAATTAATTTTAATCAAAATTTTGACTTCATGTTAAATACATTTTAAATTACGTTTTAATTTTATTTTTTATTATTTATTTATTTTTTTTTTTTAAAGATTTTATTTATTTATTTGACAGAGAGAGATCACAAAGCAGGCAGAGAGGCAGGCAGAGAGAGAGGAGGAAGCAGGCTCCCTGCTGAGCAGAGAGCCCGATGCGGGGCTCGATCCCAGGACCCTGAGTTCATGA